TGATGATAGTTATGACAGTGTTCAATTTTCAGAGGTATATTTATCATAATAATGTTTATCACCTAGCTCAAAAGGATGTTGTGAAGATTCATTAATATTTATACCCATTAGTGTTTTGGAAACAAGAATTATATTATTTTAATTTTTACACAACTAATTAAATTAGTATGAGGTTGTAATTGGACCATAAGCACAAAACCTATTCATTCCACATAACAACCAGACTTGGAGAAATAATAAAAAATAGTAATAACTACAATATTAACATGTTGCTTTCTAGAAATAATGCTTTTTTTACTTCATTCACACTCTAAATAGCAAGTCTAAAGTTTGGTCTGGGTCCTTCTGAGCTCTCTTTGGTCCCACCACTTGTGTTAGAGATACAGGGAGGGAGAACAGAAATACTGAACTCACCACATTAACTAGGCTAAAAAATAGTAATTGAGTGTATTCTAATTAAAACAATGATTATTTCTTCCAAGCCTTTGGGATGAAAAAAGAGCATTTCTTTTACTGCAAAATAGGTAACAGCACCTGTTGTATCAGCAGCAAAAGCCTCTGAGTCCTAACTTGTTCAAAAGCCAGTTTGGTCCTCGCTCATCAGCCAGGATTTCCAAGTGTAATTGCCCTTAATTGGCACAGACACAGTAATGGGCTGCCAAAATTGGAGACAAAGAGCAAAAAGTTTTAAGGAGAATCTTGGCAGCTTTAATTCCTCTCTTTCATGATGACAACACTGATTCCTAATAAAGGCAATTAAATATTCACTATTTAACATCTCACTGTGTCACTCCAGAAAATGACTTCTCTTCTCATATATTCTTTTATTCCATTACACAAACTCCACTGGTAACTGACTGCCACAGAAAACTGCACAAGCTTTAGTTACTCATCTTTACTCTTACCAAAACCACAGAAATGCCATGAGATTTAAGGGTTGCTTTGTCACTTGGCTATTTAGGAAACCCCTTCTGGAGATGTAAGAGACAGTCCAAAGATTCTCTCATCTTTCTCATCTGCCTCAAGGACAGAGACTGAGACCCTGAATATCACAAGGGACTTGGTTTGGGGGTTTGGGAGCCTAGCTGAGGTGGATGTTTGCTAAGTGATTGTTTGCAGGTGGTTGCACGGTGCACTGCCCTCGTTCCTGCTGGTGAGCAAAGGCTTGCAGGACATGGTTTGCTCTGTACCCTACACCTGCCTCCTGAGCAATGGAATTCATCACAGTGGTCATCAGTCTCCTCTGGTTTTGGCCTTGTGGCCCTCGCTTTGTAAAAGACTGTAAAATACACCCCAAAACTTCCTTGCATTTGAGATCTCCGCAACGGACAGAAGACTCTGCGTCGCTGGACGGCTGAGTGGACTTTGACGTTGGCAGCTATAATCCCCTTACTCTCTTTCCCTTATGCTTTGCTTTCTCCTCTTTTCCCTCTATCGCATATTAGTGCTGAGGAGCACTCAATAAAGTGTGTGTTTTGCTGTTGAAGTCCCTGGTTTGCTGATAATCTTTTGTACTCTAAGACCGACTAAAAGATCACGAATCCCACCTTGCGGATCCTGACAAAGACCAGGGATACCCACAGGGGTGGTTCCAGCCAGAAAACCTTTGTGTCTCTCCAGGAGGCACTTGGGGAGCACAGAACTTGTCCATCAGTGCTGGTGGAGCCACGAGCTGGGCAAGAGCATCCTTGGCCTGGCACCACCAGAGAGAGCCGTGAGCCTCTGCCCCCCTTCTGCTGAGCTGCAAACACCATCTGCCCACGTGTTTTGGGGTTGTTAAACCCTGTGTCAGAGCCCCACACACTGGTGTTGGTGAAGGATAATTTGAAATCCAAGTTTCTCTATGGAGGTGTGTATTCCCCAATGCTTCCCCAGAATTTCACTCTGCTGTTTCGGCCTCGGGTTGCGCCTTGTTTTGGTATAAAGGAACTAAAAACAAACAGCAGAAAAACGGTGGGAGCATTTTAAGACAAAGAAGCCTGGTGCCTTTCCTGTGACCTTTCCAGAAAAAGAACAAATCTTCTGTGTTCAAGGTTAGAAAAGCTCCCTATTAGCACAAGGCTTACCCAGAATATTGCTGCCTGAAAGATTAAACTTCTGTAAATATAAGCACTGCAAAAAAAAGCATTTACAAAGAAACCTGACAGCCAGACCAGCCACAATGTACCCACACCAGCCCCACAGCTGTCTGCCAAGCTTCCTGGGAGAAATAAACTTTAAGGAACGTGCTTTAATTCATTATCCTTTAAAATGATGATGTGATGCAACAGGAAAACACACATTAGCTGCCTCAGTATCTTTGCAAAATAGGTGTCTGGCAGTTCAGTGCTGTGTGATTCCAGTGTGGGTGGCAGTGCTGCCACCCAGACCAACGCTGAGCAGAGATCCTTCTGTGCAAATAAATAGAAAAATATAGAAGCAGCTATTACTGGAAGGAAATGACTTTGTGGCACTTTTTAAAAAAATATTCCGCTTCATTGGAGTGACACATTGTGCTCTTCTATTTTGATGTTTATTCCTGGCTGGTATTAAACCAGAGGCTGAATCCATTCATTTCAGAATTCAGACAAATTATTAATTCATACTATGCATATTAAAATATTATACACATATGTAAAAGCAGCACAACTCTACCATGCAAAAAAGAAAAAGATGAAAATATCTATAGTCACAATTAAAAGGCACCACATCACACTTTCAAATGCCAAAAAAATAAGAAACAATTTCTCACAGCTACAAAATAAGTACGCAGCAATTCCAAGAAGCTCCTTTTTTTAAATTATAGAATTAAACTTTAAAGACATGTCCTCTGCCAATACATCTCCTGAAATTTCCTTTTGACTTTGCAACAAGGACAACTGCCCAAGGCTTTGCTAATCAATTTCTTGTGTTGCAGAAAACAGTGTAATTCGAATTTTTTCCAAGAATACAGTTTGAAATGCAGAAAATGTGAGGAGAAGAAAGCTGAAGTCAGTTAGCAGTTATTGCCATTTTAATACACAGAGCCACTCATCATGGCTTAAGGCTGCAATAACCAAGAGTGAACCCAGCTACCCCTCTATTAGCATGCTTCAAAACACAACAAAACCCAAAACAAAACAATACAAACCCAACAAACTTTCTTTGCTCCATAAACATTTATTTTAAAGTAATAAAAGAGTGGGAATTTGTTTTGTTTTGTTTTGCTTCAGGAACTCTTACTATATATGAACACCTGAACAGTTTGCAATGCTCTCTTACAGTATATGTCACATCCTGAAATGTTCCCAAAGGTCACATTTTCAGCTTTCCACCCTGGGTTTTCCTTTCTCCAGACAGGCTCAATAAGCACAGACTCAGTGTTTTCCCTGTACCCCACACTCACATGTCTGCAAGCACTGCCATGCAGAGAGGAGGATGCAGAGGAAGCACATCCAGCACATCCAGCACATCCTTTTCCATTCCCATGCTCCTCCTGCCACGTTGCCCACATCAAGCATTCCTCCACAGACTGAACTCAAAGTCTGGGCAGTAAAAGCCCCTCTAACTCTGCTTCTTTCAGAACTTCAGAGTGTGCAGTCCTTTCAGTGGATAAAAGTTGAGAATAAAAAGTTAATTTTTCATTACTGTTTTTCAGAAGCTAAACTAACATTTTATCTTTTTATTTTATTTTTTTTTTTGTCATTAAAGGCATTTTTCTGTCACTCTCAGAGGAGCTGAGGAAGCCCTCCCTCCTCAGGGCTCTTCCAGCTTGAACAGTGCATCTGAGCAGAGCTGGCACAGGGTTTCTACAGACAAAGGCTGATTTCCACTAAAAGAACTGAATTTTACAAAACATCTCTGGCTCACAAGGCATGGAAGTTTAAGAGAAAGTCTTGCACAGTGACCCTTAGGCTGTCTTTCCTATATTTAGAATGGACACTTCCCCATCCATCTCTGTCTAGAACTCAGAAGCTTCAGGTAAGTGAAGTCACACCACCAGTAATTTCCCAGGAAAAATCATTATGGATTACTAATCAAGTTTCTGATACAGTTTTATTTTCCCTTCTTCTAAAACCAGGCATGCTTCTTCTGACTTTCATAGCACCAAGTCAGGAATAACTCCAAAGATGATGGCAGAGGAATCAGATGAGCAACAGAGCTACAACTTTCACTGCCTAAAGGACCCACAAATTTCCTTTGGTTATCAGCTGAAATTTTGTTTACATTAGGGACACACAATTACAGCTCTCAGTGAATTAATTATTTTCATTTTGAAGAATTTGTGATATTTTAGACTATGGAAACAAAATATATAGGGCTTATAGTTCATCCAAGTAGTACAGCATAGCTATCACTCAAACATTTCAGGCCTTATACCAACAGAATTGAGAAAGACAAAAATATTATTCATGCAGAAGAATTGCTTCCCCCATGTTTGATTCTTTGGTCATCATTTAAAAATGACTCATTACACTTTTCCCTTTTGAAGTTTTCTAAAAAAATTTCTGTAATCCAGAACTTAGTAGCAACCTAATGGTGATTTTTTACAAATGATTTATACCTAACCCTCTGAAGAAAAGGATTTATAATGAAAGTGATAGCTCAAGCTTAACTGCAGCACTGGGAATGGTGACACCATAATTAATGTATTATTTCAGTTGTGGGAAAAACTGACAGTAGCTTTTTGTTCTGGGGAAGAAATTTATAGGGTGATGGAAAAAGGCCCCGTGGAAAAAAAAAAAAGATCACAGAAGAGGAATAGAAATCCTTGTAGCAAAGACATGTCCTTACAATCCCCCTCCCGAAGGCTATAAAATCCTGGCAATGACAGTGTTTCCTCTACGGTCTAATTTATACCTTTCTCCTCTACTAGATGGCAGTGTGACATGCTCTCAGAATTGCTAAGTGAGGGGGTTTCTTGCTTTATTTCATAGGAAGCAATTAATTTAAAATATCATCTTGCTGGCATAAAAGAGAAAGAAAAAAACAACAAAGTTTGCCACTGGCTGTGTGTTTTGAAATCAAATCTGGCTACTTACAGGTTCCACATCGAAGGCAAACAGTGCATATTCCCTGTCAGGTGACACTTCATACCGGATAGCCTTTAAGGAGACCTGGAAAATAAACACATTTTGAAACTATGTTCTTCAGTTTTCAAGCTAATGACACCTAGAACTAGTTGTTGTGATCATCTCTCTAAGGGTGAAGGTGCTGCCAGAATTGTCTTGAAAAATATAATGTCTTTTTTTCACACACCAGAAATGTTACGTGGGCACCCATAAGAGAAAGAATAAATGCATTGTGACTCAGAGCAGACAGCTGTATCAAAAAAACCAGAATTTTCCTTACAATCTTTCTGCAAGTGGCTGCTGAGGTGGCAGATGTAGGCAGTAGTTAGTAGAAAACTCTGATAAATGGGAATTTATTAATTCCTTCTAATTATCTATATTCACTGGCCAGAGCAGGAGATGAAAAACCAAATAGCTTCTGGAGCAAATTAGTAATAGAGACACCACTACCTCCCCTGGTTAAGATAACCCAGGGAAAACCATTCTGTGCACCCTGACCTGGGGTCTGCAAAAATCAGCACTGTAAATCTTGCTAACAAGAAGAAATGCCAGGGTGTCTCAGACTTGCCAGGAATTACCTTTTTCCAGCTCCACTTTTCATTTATGTAGTGAAGTCATTTCCACTTCCCAGTATAATGCATTGCTGGCACAGATGGCACCAAGGGCAAAGAGTGCCACTAACACATCACTCCTCCACTGCCTTTTAAATCTCACACTCTCACCCAACAAATTAGATGTAAGTCCTTGAGGGAGTCCCACAGAGCAGAATTGAAAGGGGACTGGGGGAAAGACAGAGCAGCCTGCTGGGGAGAGTCCTCCCAAGGCCAGCGAGGATGGATGTGCTGGGGGAGCCCAGTGGACAGGCAGGAGCTGAGGGGACAGCTCACACCATCGAAGGATGATTTGGGTTGGAAGGGACCCTAAAGGCTGCCTAGTCCAACCCCCTGCAAGGAGCAGGGACATCTTCACCCTGACCAGGCTGCTCAGAGTCCCATCCAACCTGACCCTGAGCATTTCCTGGGAAGAGGAAGAGGCTCCCACCGCCTCTCTGGCACCTCTGACATCCACACTGGCTGATGGCCCAGTGCAGAGCAGGATGGGGAGGGACAGGGGAGCCTGGCAGCCAGCAGTGCCTGCATGGACACAGATTTTATTCACTGCTGTGTTAAGAGCACGGGGGAGGGAAAACACGACCAAGTAGCAAAAGCTTTCTGGGGCTGGGAAGGAAGAGGAAAAAGACAATGTGTGTGAGTGAAGTGTAGTGTCAGCTCCTGCCCTTTCTGGATGAATGTAGAGGTGACTTGCAGATGTATCTACTGAGAGGGCAGAGGAGCAAAGGTAAAACAGGCTGTAGGGTGGCAATGGCATGAAAATGTAGGATTATCTTGTAGCACTGTGCTTTTCTTACAAATGGCAAAAATTAAAACCCAGTGGAATAAACAGAGGCCAAATGGAAGTAATTTGACTTCAACAGACCTTGACATTAAAGGAAGCCAGCCCATTCCCTTAGAACTGTAAAGAAAGGGGTTAGACTCTGGTAAAAGAGGATTGCTTATGTGATGCAGCAAAGTTTGAAGGTTAAATGAAGCACGTGAAATTCAAGTTTGGGCCCTGCCATAATAACTCAGTGAAAAATTCTTTGTCTCATTAAAAAAATAATTAATACAATTGATGTACTAACTTCTGCCACAGTGCTGCTTTCATCTACTACAAAAAACCATGCTACAAAACGTTTCTATCACTATAAGCAATACTCTGTATCAGGTGTGACTTTGTTTTATTTACATTCATTTTAATAGTCACCTACTAACTTCTTCCCACAACAATTTCTCAGGGTTTCTCTCAAATACAACTCCAGTTCTATTCCTCAACACTACTCATAAAAAACATTGAAATTGCATTTCAACCATTAGGCAAGAACAATCAGCAAACGCAAAAATTAAAAGTAAGTATTTGCATGGAGGAATGTAGAGAATGACAACAGACAGTAAATTATATCAATTGTCCTTTTTATTAAGCATGCAGAGATGAGAATTATGCATCTTTCAATTATATATGGTATGCAAGACTAGCTGCAAGTCTCTATATGATACTTTCCAGAAATATGAGAGAAACTGAGCTTGCAGAATAATAACAAAAGCTGGAGTTCAATCTCACATTATCCATCACTGCATAGCCCATTGTATTACCAGTGAATTGCTTCTCTTTGACAATACATGAAGTTGAAACCCAAGTCATTTTCTGCTTTACTGGTCCAACTGCAAGAGAGCTGTGAAATTCAGCTACTTGTCAAAGAAAATACTTACAATTTTTTTGTTTTCTATTAATATTGTTGAACTGTTGGTTTCGACATTCCTCAGGATCACTGTGCCATTCTGGTTTCTATAAATGAATTCATTATCTGCAAGGAGGAAAACAAAAGGTCATTAAGGAAATCTGAAATTGGCTGTTTGTGTGGAACCTAATTACAGACTTAAACCAAAAGTACTGCTGGGAACTTCTTTCTGAAGAACACAGATTAATTTTAACGCAGACATTGCTAAAAGTGACTTTGAGGACAGCCATAAAAAAACATGGTTAGTGTTTGTGACACGTTTGTTGTGCCACACTTTCCCTCAGATGAATGCAAGAGTGACCTGTTTTGAATGTACATAGACAGCTTGCTGTGTAGTTACAGTAGAAAACAAGGTCAAAAAACCCCATTCCTTATGATTAAAGGTTTCTGAGTTCCACAGTCTTTGTAGGAGTTTAATAAGCCTGGAAAGTCTCTGAAAGTGAAAGGCAAATGACCCTCTGACAAAGCAGATTCTGGAACCTAATATTAGGCTCCAACTCTGACATTTGTTCTGCAGACTTATACCAGAAGGAGATGCATGCAGAGAAATCACCATTTGCACATGAAACAAAACACATCAGCTTGACTCTGTGCACTTTGGGACTTCTTCAGCTCTCCAGATGGACAAGGACAAAAATACTGGAGAGAGTGTCCAGCTCTCAGAGCACACAACCTGCCTGAAAGGCTGGGGCAGACATATGAAAGGGACTCCAAATGAGGGTTAGGTAGCAGGTCAGAAGTTCAGGATGAAAAACATTACAGCAATAAAGGGATATCATAAACTGAAGGTTAAGTCTGATCAGTGCTTACATGCACTGCCCTGCAGATAAAATGTAAGTCCCAAGCACTCTGCCATTAAAGGAATCAGCAGTTTTTCTTGGCACAGGACTAGAGTTGTGTGTTTTTTGCAGCTTGGCTGAGACTGAGAACTGATGGATCCTACCAAACCTCTGCTTCCAGTTTCAGTTCAGGAAACAATTCCTCATTGCCTACCATTACACCTACCTACACCCCAGGAGTGTTACCATGATGCAGCAAGGACGTGTGGATGGTTTGACATTATCCATGGGTTGTCCTGGGCTGAGTCAAAGGTGAGTTTAAATCCTCTAGGACATGTCCAAGCACAAACCCAGCTCGCTGTAGCTGCAGAGGTGTGCACTGCCCATTGAGGGGACCTGCTACAGGCAACCCTGGGTTTTGAGACTTGGTTCTTTCAAAACTTGGGTGTAGAGACCCAGAATACTCATTATCCACATTTCAGTCTTTTATTTCCATCCTGGTGATGATAATCCTCCACCACAGTCAGTAACTAACTTTATAAAATGCTCTGAAGGTGCAGATTAAAGCTTCTATGCTCCACTTATTGCTGTCAATAAAAAAATATCCTCCTCCTCCATATCACAAATTTACACATAAATGGAAGAAGAAGAAATCTTCTCAGAGATTTGGATGAATCAGATTCTGTAAGGGCAAGTGGTTACTGCAATACTGTTGATCCTCTCAAAACCACAAGGTTTTAGAGACTTTAAGATTCTCAAAGTTCAAATCAGAGCAGCAGCCCTTCAGACTCATAGGCAAAGTTCTCAAAGCATAACTTTTTTTTAAAATTATGGTATAAATTTTATCAACTGTCTTGAATAAAAAAAAAAATCAAAAAAAGGAAGGATCTGAATTAGATTGAATTGCATTTATCTTTAAAGTATTCCTTCATAGAATTTTTGGCTGAGCAAACTAAGAAAGTTAAACTTGAGAAAGAACTGATTGAACAGAGCTAGAACAAAAGTCAAAAAAGTCATAAGCAGTATGGAGAAGATAAATAAGGGCTGCTTATTCCCTGCTTCTTCCAAAATAAATACTGGAAGGCACCAGATGACACCAGTCAGTGTCAGGTTCAACACAAATAAAAGGGATTATTTCTTCATGCTGAAGGCAAACAAACTGTGGAAGTCACAGTCCCAGAACAGAGCAGCTGCCAGGGCTGCAGGTGGATCCAAACTAGAATTACAAAAATGGAGGAAAAATCCATCAAGGATTATATGTCTTGAAGGGGAATGCTGTTCAGGAAGCTCATGAAACAGCCATTGTGAGGGACTAAAGTAATATCCTGAATCCTCAACCTGAGAAATCTGCCTGCTTTTTAGAATCTTCCCTAAGCATTTGCCCTTGTCCTGAGCCATGTGCGAGAAGAGACAATCCCTGGGATAAGCAGCAACATATTTACAACTCTAACTTCCATCTTCTGTTTCCAGATCTTTAAGTGTTTATGCCAACAATTTAGAAAGTAAGGTAATAAAAGATTCAATGCTTCATATGCTTCCTACACACCTGGTCTTTATATACTTTATATACTTTATATACTTTATATACTTTATATACTTTATATACTTTACTTTATATACTTTATATACTTTATATACTTTATATACTTTACTTTATATACTTTATATACTTTATATACTTTATATACTTTATATACTTTATATACTCAGGCCACAGAGTCTGAAGCATTATTTGTTACAAGAGAGGAAAGTAGTCTAATTTTTTATTTTCCAGCAATATTTCAGGCATTCTTGAAATAATTAAACTGACAGACAATTACCTAATTATCAGACATGCTGAAAAATATTACTGCTTTAATAATTACTGCCCTCTGTCAACAACACAAAATGTTTTCCAATTCCACACTAAGCTGTTTCTTGAACATTGCAGGAACTGATGCATTACTGCCCATAATGACATTGCTACCAAATTTTATTGCTCCTTATGCTCCAAAAAAACCCATAACATTTTAATAAACTAAGAAACTTTAAGATTACATAAAAGTTGCTCCATGGTTAGAAGCAGGAGATGACAGACTTCCCCATTATTTGTTAAACCAAAAGAAGTTTAAAATCAGGTGCTAATCTGCTGCATGTACTTTTAGAATGCATAAAAAAAGAATAAATGAAGCAGTGCTGATTTGTCAGGGCTGTAAATCTTGCCATTATATTCAATACCAGCCATCAACACTCTGTCTGAGTTAATGAACAGAAAATTGGTCTGCTTAAGAGAAGAACAAATTGATCTGCATTATATTCCAAAAAAAACACAAACACTGTGAGGTTTAGCTGGGCCTTAGTCCTCAAAAGATGAATAATATTCCTGGACTTCTGTTTTGAAATGTGTGATTTGTTCCAGTGCAAGAGCATTTATTTAAATGGGACATACCTCAATCAAAGCCAGAAAGCAATGCAGTGGCCTCTGTCTATAATGAATTCTGTCCAGCAAGCTGATGAGAATTTGCAGCCTGATTTATAGTTGTCACCAGAGCTGATAAAGGTCATCACTGCTTCTCATTTTTTACATCTGCCTTTCTTTGGGGCTACTGTTCAGTATAAAAGATGTCGAAGATTATAATTTTCAGGCATGAAAGCATTTATTCAATTTCTTCAGTCTTTCCTGGATTTTTTCCATCTGTTCCTCACCAAAGAAATTGTGGATGCCTCATCCCCAGAGGTGTTCAAGGCCAGGATGGTTGGAGCTCTGAGCAATCTGGTGAAAGATGTCCAGTGGGGTTGGAACTGGGTGGTCTTTAAGGTTCCTTTATCCCAAACCTCTCTCTGATTCTAGGACTCAATCGCAAAGTTCACTTTTCCAACTCCTCACCCCTCATTCAACTTCCAGGAAATTGTCTGGGTGGTAGACTGCATTTTCTGACTGTGAATGTTGACACAGATATGTAGTCAACTTGAAAATGCAGTCACACTTGAAAAGAAGCGACTGATTGCAAAAAACAATGATTACCATAAATAATGGATCAGCCTTGGGGCCGCACAGAGTCAGTGCAGAGGAATGGGGAGGCCTGGGGAGAAACTTTTAAAAACCTGCTAAGCAGAACAGGTGAAATCATAAACCCCATCTGCTTCTCTGTCTTGAATTCAGTCAGAAAATGCACAGGCAGAGAAAACACCCAGGGAGAGGGAGCTCGTGTCCCTTGAAGTCACTGAGCCCTCACCAGGGACAGCACAGTCAGACAGAAGAGCTCACCACAGTGGACAAGAAGGTTTGGGACCACTTTACTTCTAGAAGGAATAAGTTTGATTGCTGGCAGTGCAAAGAATTTGAAGGAACTACATCCATTGAGAGGAACATAGCATCAGTGGCCAAAAATTTAGTGCAGTGAAGCTTCAAAGCTTCTCTGAACTCCACATTACCAGAGAGGAGAGGCTGATTTATAAGATACTAGCAGGACTATGAGGGGAACTTTCATTATCTGTCAGAGATTATGGAAAGCAGAAATCAAAAGTGATAAAACATGAGAACAAAAAGTATTTAAATCCAGCTCTAAAAAAATATTTTAATGAAATTGTAATTTTCTATAATTTTAACAACTGATGGAAAGTAGACAAATAAAAGGATATGAAATTCACATGCAGCAAGTCAGCAGCAAGAGAAAGTGAATGAGAGTAGAGTCAGGACTCTTAGGGCCACTCCAGTCTTTTAGAGCCACAGATTTAGAGGAAAAGGCAACTTCTTCAGTCCTGATCAACAGGCATGAAAGATAACTGAATGACTCTCAGTCTGATGAAAGCCAGCATCGAGGGAATTATCATTTTCAATCCCTAAGATTAAGGAAGATTGGTGAATAAAGGAAATTTAAGTCCTGAAGTTGTTCTAAGCCGTTTCAGATAAATGAGCCCCCAGATACTAGCAGGGCTGGCAACCACATTAGTGTCAGGAGAGCAGACAGCAGCAGGTCCTGTGGGATGAGCCCTCATCCCTCCCAAGGGACAGAGATCACTCTGCTCCAGGCCACGCGCAGAGATGCTGGGATGGAGCTCTGCAGATGTCACAGGGCCACCAAGAGAACACTGGTACCCTGCTGTTATTCCTCATGGGAGTTGAACAGAAGTTGTTGTGGGGTTTTTAGTGACCCAAAGCAGTCAGATCTTTGGTGGTTTATCTTACATCTGGAGGTGGAGCCTTGCAGGAGCCCTGCAGCACTGCCCACTGCGGTGCACAGCATCACTCGGCCCCTGGCCAGGCTGAGCCCACCCTCACTGAGGTGACAGCAACACCTGAACCAG